GAGGACACCTTCCCCTTTTTCTGCTGTTTCTTAACTGGCAGCGATGTATGCTGTTCAGGGTCTACGCTTGAGGGATCATAGCAGGGGCCGTACAAGCCAGTGCCTTGCCAAGATCTTAAAATAAGCTTTAAGGAACATCACACACTGGTTTAAAGCAGAGCTCTTTGGAAGATTTTAATTCCCTACCAGGCCTAGTAAGCTCTGCTTTCTACAGTTCTGGTCTAGAGTCGTTTTGCTAGTCCCCAACACTATTCACTCGGCTTTTAAGATTTGCATTCCTTTTTTGTGTGATTGGTTTTAATGTAGTTGGAAATATTTGGCTTGCTATAGTGTAAGTTAGAAATGGCATGCTTGGTCTTTTAGTATGGGATCAGGAGGAAGTGGCAGTGGCAAAATACCTGGGTCCTCTCTTGCTGCACAGCCAGAGACTGGAAGCTAAAAGAGGGAGTTCTCCTTCTGGACCAACCTATAGCTGAAGCTTTAGATGAGCTGTCTACAACAGAAGGATGGGTCTTTGCTGCCAGTGCGTTGGAGGGGAAGGGGCCTGAAGTTGGGAAGAAAAGCCCTCGTGGCTTATATGGGATAGGAACTGCACCCATTTTTATGACCTAATATAGTACGTGAAGGGACATTCTTGCTGTCAAATGGGGTGATAGAAAGTTCCTTCGCTGCAGCTCACAGGTGCTTTTCTTTGTAATTAGTAGCCTGGTAACTTAGATTAGGACCATGGTTTGGGGGGGGGTGTTCTGACCCTCTCCCCATGCTGTTTTTTGGCTCTGCTCTATACTTCATTGAGGTAATGATTAAGGCATGCTGTATGATATCAGTATCTGCTTCAGCTGGGTGAACAATAGCTCTGTGGGGTTGTTTCAGTTGGGGAAACAGCAAGGTGGTATGGGAGAGGTGTAAGGTTTTAAATCCCCCCTTTAGGCATCTGCAGGTGCTCTCAATGAAGGAGGAAGTGCTTAGAGTGTCCCCGTATCTTGCTTTGGCCCCTTCACCACAAGCATATTTTAAGGGAAGATTGATTGTGGTGGTGTTCCCTCACAAGAGAATGCTAAACGCTTCTGGGATAGCTCACAGTGTGCTGAGGGTCCTTTGACATCTTGGGAAGGCTGAACAGACAGCTTATCTGCGCTTGGGCCTCATTGGGGTGAAATGCATTATGGGTATTATGTGGCTTAATCTCGGTCAAATAAAGAGCTGTTTTTGCGAACTTTATGGCTCATGTTTTCTTTTCTTTGGAGTGGGGAGAGGGAGGTAAGAAGCCAGGAGGCTTATTCCGAGGTAGTCTTGAAGGCCATGAAGAACAATGGCTGTACAATAAGGGACATTCCACTGCACCAGCCTTACTAAAACGAAGGCTAGCTTCACAAATGCATTCTTTGATTCTTGTTTCTGAGGCTGGTGTAAGAGAGTATCCCTCTCATAGTGTTCAGTGTTAATGCCCAGTCGGCAATATCTTTGTTGACTTGGTTGATTCCCTGACACCTTAGAAACCAGATTAATGCCTACCTTTACCAAATTCACTGCCATACAGTGGTTGCCAAACGCCTTTTAGACTTGTTTAAGACTTGTCAGCTTCAGAACACTTCTGAAAGCTCTAAAACCATGATACTCATGCCACGACTCGCAGAGAGCCACATCTGCGATCCCCAACAACCAAAACAGCCATGTGACTATTACATCCCCTAAGCACCCCCAAAACACACACACTGGCCCCGGTCACATGGGAGGATTTGCCCCGTGGGAGGGACGGATCAGGGGCACATCAAGTGGGTGCGATCTGGGAAGCAGCGCGCACCCGTCCCCGATCCATCCCTTCCAGCCGAAAACCCGCCGCAAAAACGTAGCACAAAAAAACCCTACCTGTTGATGTGCAGCACAGGCCGATGTCTGATTGCCGACGCGCCAGTCTCCCTGCAGCATACAGAGGCACTGTAGAACTGCGCATGCGCACCAGGCTCGCCTCACCGATCTGTGGCTTCCCCCTGGCATTCAATCATGCTGGGGAGCAACTGCGCGGCGGCTCGGGGGATCTGTCTGATCCTGCCGCCACGCTTCTCTTTTGATGCGGCTCAAAAAAGCCGCACTTCAGCCGCACCTTTCCCCCCAGTGTGACCGGGGCCACTGTTAGAACCATGTGACATATGTAACCTTAAGAACCAGAGTATCTCTGAGCACATGGGGTTGTCTGTCTCTACCTCGTCGAACTTGAGCCAGCCCTTGTGTGCCTTTCTACTTCCTACATCCTTTCCTGATCCTGTGGCACAAGCCCCACAGCTCATGTGAGACAGACAAAGCTACTCTGCGTCATGCCAGGGAAAGCAAGAAGGCAGCAAGAGAAAGGTGCACAGTAGAATGCTGCTGTAAGCCAGCTGAGGAGTACTGTGAGCCTTGCTTAGCAAGCGGAGCAGGCTTCTACAATGGGAAGCCTGCATGGCCTCTGCAGGAGGTACAGGAGGTCAGGAGAGAGGGTAAGGAGCCTGGGAAAGAGCAAACTGGCTATGAAATCACACCCGCACACTGTGCTCTGCTTGCTGGTTTCCTAGATGACTTCTACAGTGGCAGGTATTTTGCTTTTTCTTCTCTGTGGCTAGCTCATTCTCCTCCTGGCCAGGTGCTGGGATGAGAATGCAGAAGTTGCCGAGAAGGGTGGGCCCTTCAGTTCTACCCCTGCCATGAATAGGGTTACTAACTCCAGGATGGGAAACACCTGGAGATTTGGTGGGTGGAGCCTGAGGAGGGTGGGGTTTGGGGAGGGACTTCAATGGGGTAGAATGCCAAGAAGTCCACATTTAAGAGCAGCCATTTTCTCCAGGTGAACTGGTCTCAGTCTGGTGTCATAGTTAAGAGCGGCAGCCTGTAATCTGGAGAAACCAGGTTTGATTCCCCATTCCTCCATGTGAAGCCTGGTGACCTTGGGCCAGTCACCATTCTCTCAGAACTCTCTAAGCCCCACCTGCCTCACACAGCAACCGTTGTGAAGAAAGCAAGGGAAAGCAAGTGGGTAGAGAAAAACTGGGTATAAAAACCAGCTCCTCTTCATCTCTGTCACATGGAGATCAAATAGTGGGAAATCTCCAGCCAGCCCCTGAAAGTTGGCAACCCTAGACACAAGGCCTACACCTCAGGGAGGTTCACAGCTTAACCCTCTTCCCGCCCTTCCAGCAACTAATTTAAGGTGGGAACCGCCTGCCAACCATGAGTCCTAAAGGGCTGTGGCCTTGTCCACTATCCCGAAACATGGAGCAGGTGCTACATATGACAACAGTGCTTAAAAGAACTGCAGGTGGTTCTTGAGCTGTAAAAGCAATGGAGGCTGCAGCCTTAAGATATTCCTATTTGCCCATTTCCCTTTCAACCCTGCTGAAGAGAACTATGTGGCCATACCCAAAGTAATAAATGCGCACTTCTTTCTCTTTTGTTGGCATTGTGTGCGCGTACATGCATGCCTGGAAGTCATGTCAACTTCTGGCAAACCCTACTGAGGCACGGAGGATGTTCCGAGAAGTGGCTTGATACAGCCTGCCTCTGCCTCCCAGTCCTGGTATTCCAAGGAGGTCTCCTAACATAAGAACATAAGAGAAGCCAATGTTGGATCAGGCCAATGGCCCATCCAGACCAACACTCAGTCACACAGTGGCCAAAAATACCAGGTGCCATCAGGAGGTCAGGCAGTGAGGCCAGGACACTAGAAGCCCTCCCACTGTTGCTCCCTCCGAGCACCAGGAATACAGAGCATCACTTGACCCAGACTGAGAGCTCCTATCTATACTTTGTGGCTAATAGCCACTGATGGACCTCTGCTCCATATGTTTATCTAATTCCCTCCCTCTCGAAGTTGTCCATGCTTGTAGCCACCACCACCTCCTGTGGCAGTGAATTCCACGTTAATCACTCTTTGGGTGAAGAAGTACTTCCTTTTATCTGTTCTAACCAGACTGCTCAGCAATTTCATTGAGTGCCCACGAGTACTCCTATCCAAGTACTTGCCAGGAAGGTTTGGCCCTGCTTTGCTTCCCAGATCTGATGAAATCAGGCATGCCTGGGCTATCCAAGTTATGGCAATGTGTACCTCTAAGCTGTGTTAAGTGGCGTGGCTTTGGACAAAGGAACGTGGTAATAAGCCTACACTTCCCAGGTTTGGGGGTGGGCGGGCTCTAAATGAACCAAATCTAGTTTAAAGCAGAGAGA